GTGGCCCTCTGGTTCCACTTCGTGGAACTTTCATGGTTGCCTGTCCTTGCGCCCCAGCAAACCGCCCTCATGTGACATTTTGTTTTTGTCTCTACCCTTCTCCCCATTGAACCAGCATTCTTTGGACAGTAGAGTGGGGTCCTAACTAATGATATACTATATATTATAAGCAAGTGTAGCAGATTCAGATGTAACTTATAGATGGAATATTCATTATAAGCAACTCTACGTAACTGAGATGTGCAATACAGGTGAAATGTTTATTATATTAATACGTAGCAGATTGAGATTGTTCTATACAAGTGGAAAGTTCGTTATACTCGCGTGTAGCAGATCTAAATGTAGTGTTCATTTTTAAGAAGAAATGATGAAAAACAATGTAATTTTCCAGAAGTTGCGAGATGTCTCTCTTTTTGTTCAGTGTTGAATAATTGTTTGAATGATTGAAAATAATGTTCATCAATATCATGAATTAGGCATGACTTTCATCATCAGCATTCATGTTATTGTTCTATGCTTATAACAGTAAGATATAACGTGATTCTTCGATCGCCATATCTATTTAAGTTCTCTCTTCATCTGTCTATCTTTACATCCTCCTCGTAGATTACATTTTTCACACTTTTAATCGTGTTAATAGAAATAAAGTGGTGCTGGGTTGTTTTAAGTTCTAAGGGGCCAGATGGGGTATCTGCGCCGTGCCCACTGCAAGGATCGAATCTCGATTTTTAACGTTATAAACACTCAAACTTATCGAAGACTTATTCTTCTATTCGTGCTTTATAAGATGAAACATTACAGGATATTAAATAAATATTTTTTTACGAAAACGAGAGAATACTGAACACTTGCTGTGGGGAATCATCCGCCATCTAATAATCAGTCACATTAAATGGGGGCCCGGCATGTCCAGGTGGTTAAGGCGCTCGACTCGCAATCTTAGGGTCGCGGGTTCGAATCCCCGTCACAACAAACCTTTCGGCCGTGGGGGCGTTATAATGTGTAAGGTCAATCCCACTATTCGTTGGTAAAAGAGTAGCCCAAGAGTTGTCGGTGGGTGGTGTTGACTAGCTGCCTTCCCTCTAGTCTTACAGTGCTAAATTAGGGACGGCTAGCGCAGATAGCCCTCGTGTAGCTTTGCGCGAAATTCAAAACAAACAAACATTAAATGGGTGGTTTCAATCATTAATTTTAACCCTTTCCGTGATTTGCCCGAGTTAATTCGTGTAAACCATTTCTCGTCGTATTTTTGCTTATTTGCCCGAATTAATTCGTATGTTATCATAGGCTATCAAAAAGCGAAATAGAAAAACAACGTTTTTGAGCTCATTTATAAAATAAAAGAAGATAAATCTGACACGCAAGAGGTTTGGGCAATAACTTTATTCAGAACTTTCTGGAAAACTATGAATTTTGCAATTATTTTAAAGATTTGAATAAATAGAAAGATAATTTAAATTATTGTGCTTGTGAATGTTTGTTGGATAATTATTGTACGTTCCTTCGTATTAAAGGAAACGAGATTTTTTTTTCTGTAGAAACATTTGTGTTTTTACTGACGTTTCGGTGGTTGATCAGGACTACAGTATAATTACCCTCTGTCACAGCTCCAGATAACAAAACAATGTAAACCTACAATGGAGAACAATTGTTTAATAAAATCTTATTGATTAAATTGCAAGTCATTAAACAAATCACTAAACAATTGTTTACTGAAGTCTTATTGAATGTATTAGAAATCACTAAACAATTGTTTACTAAAGTCTTATTGAAAGAATTACGAATCATCAAACATTGTTTATTAAAGTCTTACTGAATGAATTACAAATCATCAAACATTGTTTACTGAAGTCTTACTGAATGAATTACAAATCATCAAACATTGTTTACTAAAGTCTTACTGAATGAATTACAAATCAGTTATTTATTATAGTCTTTATAGTTTATATTTTCTTACGAATGTTTATGTATAACTATATATACAACTTTTATGTATAACTAAATATATCTATTACGTATAACTATATATATAAGTATTATGTATAACATATATTGAGTGTCGGAATCTATGTCTACGTGTACCAGGATATAACGTATTGAGTGTCCGTATCTCTGTCTGTGTATACCAGAATATAACATATTGAGTGTCTGTATGTATCAGGATATAACGTATTGAGTGTCCGTACACATGTCTGTGTGTACAACGATATAACATTTTGAGTGTTGGTTTCTATAAGTATTTGTGCAAGGAATTTTGACTGACTATTATTTAATATTTATTTACAGAATGTTACAAATATCGAAGAATAGAACATTTCTTTGGCTTTTAAGGAAATATTTTTTCAGTAAAGCTATTATGAAACTTACTTAAACTTAAATCAGATGCAACTTTTTACATTTTCAAGCTGTCTTACGTCTTGTTTTTTCAATTATCGCGAAAGAAGTATCATGTATATATCACCCCCCCCCCTCCAATGTTCTGGATCTATTCTAGCCTTGAGTTAAACTTAATTACCTGATTCGTACTTGTCCACCTTCCCCTATAAAATGAATTATTTCTCTAGATGTCCAGAAACTGAATAAATATTGATTTCCAATATATTTCCTTCCGATGTCAGATCGAATAGGTGCTTGCGCATGTGCAGGCTGGAATCGCAATCCACTTCTTTGTCGTGGAATTCCTCTGTGTATTATTTGTCAGATAATAATCAAGTTCTAACAGATCTCTAGACAGATGTAGGCTCGACTGAGATCGCTCACTGAGCTAATTTTTTTCAGAAAAAATCGTCCGTTTAACCCTCATCGGAGTTCAACGTTAAAAAAACAAAGGTTCGAAGCTCCATGTTAAAAAACAAGGGTTTGCTTACAAGATCTGAAACCCCCGTATTAGAGAGACCATCAGTTCTCGTGTTACCGAAAAAATTTAAACCTTTAATCAACCTGAAACCTGTCAGAAAGAAAGCATATCAAAATAGGTAAAAATCACAAAAATCTTGCAAGTTTACCTTTCGAGCAGTAGCTTATATTATGGTCCTGTTGAAGACTTTGTGCTCATAGAATAGCATTAAGCTGACACAACTTAATACTGTATATTATCATTAACATTTCACGCCATTTACCTTTCGAGCACTAGCTAGTATTATGGTCCTGTTGAAGACTTTGTGCTCATAGAATAGCATTAAGCTGACACAACTTAATACTGTATATTATCATTAACATTTCACGCCAAATTATTGCCAATAAGTTATATTACACACGTTTAAAGAATGTAAAATTATAATAGATAAATCGTTGACAAACACATCCTACAGACTTATACTACATGGTTTCGTTTGTGAATACTGAACACAGTCACATCTTTCCACTTTTGGTACAAATCCAGTGGTACAGGATTCTCTCACACAGTGTTTGTTTACGAATACTGTTGACAGTCACTTCTTCCTACTTTCAGCACAAATCCAGTGGTACAGGATTCTCTCACGCAGTGTTTGTTTACGAATACTGTTGACAGTCACTTCTTTCCACTTTTAGCACAAATTCAGTTGTACAGGATTCTCTCACACAGTGTTCGTTTACGAATACTGTAGACAGTCACTTCTTCTTACTTTTGGTACAAATCCAATGGTACAGGATCTTCTCACACAGTGTTTGTTTGTGAATACTGAACACAGTCACATCTTCCAACTTTTGGTACAAACCCAGGAAGTGACTGTCGACAGCATTCATAAACAAACACTGTGTGAGAAAATCCTGTACCACTGGATTTGTACCAAAAGTAAGAAGATGTGACTGTCTACAGTATTCGTAAATAAACACTGTGTGAGAGAATCCTGTACAAATGGATTTGTACCAAAAGTAGGAAGAAGTGACTGTCTACAGTATTCGTAAACAAACACTGTATGAGAAAATCCTGTACCATACCAAAGTAGAAAGAAGTGACTGTCGACAGTATTCGTAAACAAACACTGTGTGAGAAAATCCTGTACCAAAAGTAAGAAGAAATCAGTGGTTCGGGATTTCCTCACACAGTGTATCAAACGTCTGATTACCTTGAAGTAATATACTAGTTACCTTGAAGTTTAAAAGAAAAGTAAATATTTTGTTTAAGATGTTCACGATATTTAACAAATCATATGATGAATTATTTATTGTCTCACTGATTAGATAGACAAGTAATAAGAGAAAACAATGGGTCACTCGAATGTAATGTTAACAAGTAAAAAGTGGGCTTAACTTGCTAAGAAAAAGAAAGTAGGCTTAATTCACTTTAAGCCTATTTATTATTCAATAACAGTTAGTACGTGGAAATTAAGCTTAACCCACTTTAAGTCTTCTTTTACACGTATTTACAGTGATTGTGTGTTTTATTTCATGAAAAATCTTTCCATAACCAGAAAAGATTTATTCCATTTTCTTGTTTCTATCAAAGGCATACGCTTGAAATTTTAAAACTTATGACTCAGAAAGTGCAAAACACAAATAATCTAATATTGTTGTAAACTATGTTTATAATACTTTAATTTACATGTTTGTTTACTAGAGAGACCTAATCATGATGATACGTAATGATCTAAATACCAGACTAAGTGAATTATTTACATAAATCACTTAATGAGTAGTCAATGAGTTATTTAGTTTAGTTAATGATTATATTTTAGTAACTTGTTCTATCGTTGGAAATAGGAGGAGGTCTTCTTGGATTATTTAGTAAAAGTAATGCCAACTACAGTCTACGTAACAATAACGATCTAGCTTATTTCTTAGTTAACGTTTACTGCAGGCTACATTCTCAGTTAGACCTAACTTCACAAAGAATGTTTCAACGGAAACTCCGAAACTTATTTGTAAAGATTTTCTCATTACCTAACTCACTGACTAATTGAATCGCAGACAAATAGACGCAATAACTCTCAGTGTGTAAATATTGCCCGAGTGAATGTATGGAAATCGATTAACATTTGCATACATGGTACTAAAATAACCAGTTTTGTTTTATTTAGTTGCCTCAGTCGAGAAAGGAATTGTTTCACTCTGTCCTGTCTTTCACTGCTACTCAGTCTGTCAAGTACACCTGCCAAGCCGTGACTCATCTCCGAAGCTCCAACAGCATCCTTAAAGACTCCAAAGACTTTTATGTTTATGTTTTTCCCACTTTGAGTAAGTTTACATGAATTTAGTAAAATCCTTTCTAATAAGCTACAACTTAAAACATGTTTCAAAGAATTTTCTAGAATAATAAGTTCCTGGGTTCAAGAGATTGTTTATTTATTTTTAGAAGTTGGTCTTTCTGCTGTGTCCACCACGTGGAATCGAACCCTTGATTCTAGCGTTGTAAGCCCGTAAACTACCGCTGTTCCACTGGAGGACCGGGATTCAAGAGAGTTTGTTTTTTATTAAGTACAAAGTTACTCAATGAGCTATCTGTGCTCTGCCCACCGCTGGTGTCGAAACTTGATTTTAAACGTTATAAGCCTTCAACTGTGCCACCGATGGGAGTCATTTGAAGATATGGAAATAATGTAAACTCAAGTTACTTTAATATATAAGTACAATATAATATTAAGAAATAGATTATTGTGTCATATAAATTGTGTCACAGTGGCTCAGCGGTAAGTCTAAAGGCATATAGCCGGGTTTCGATATCCGTGGTGGACACAGCAGAGATAGTCCATCGTGTAGTTTTGTGCTTAACGCTAAACAAACAAACGAACATAAACACGGTTAAAAGTCAGATTAATATGAAAAAATAAATACAAAATCACATAAAAAAACTTGAAAATGCAAATAATTGTGCGGACAAATGTATAGCTTAAAATAATGAAGAAATTAAACTTTGAATAACAATATTAGAGAAACATTGAAGCTCGAATCACAACAATGAAATAGTTCTAGGAAGGAAAAGCTATTATTTCTTTGAATAATTGTTTCGAACAATCCAAGTTACCAATAATAGAAAGTTATTAAATATAAAAGGTTGAAAAGAACATTTCCTCTGTTTATATTTATAATAACAATATTAGAGAAACATTGAAGCTCGAATCACAACAATGAAATAGTTCTAGGAAGGAAAAGCTATTATTTCTTTGACTAATTGTTTAGAACAATCCAAATTACCAATAATAGAAAGTTATTAAATATAAAAGGTTGAAAAGAATATTTCCTCTGTTTATATTTATCTTTACTTTTGTATAGCTGGCAATGTGTGAGTGATAAGTTGATTAATTAGTTTAATTTTTTTAAAAAGGTGTTTTTTTAGTTTCAGCAAGTAAAAAAGAAGGAAATTATACTGATTTAGGTGAAGAGACTGATGAAGTACGCATGGAGGAAGAAAGGATGTTTGACGACGAACGTCTTCCCGAAGCTAAACATAACGTTACAGTACCCTCTGTTTCCAACGGAACATGCCTCCCTTATTCGGGGGTCATCTGTGCTGCTGAGCTTAGAGGGGCAGGTTTAGTTTTCTACAATTATAGTAACTCCCCCGTGCATGTCAACGAGAAGATCACTGAGGCTCTCTGGATAGAGCTAATCACTCCCCTTCCAGAACCGTGCCGAAGTGCGGCTCGAAGGCTTCTGTGTTACTACGCGTTTCCACAGTGTGAAGGAGAAAGTAGTTCCATCCAAGCAAAGCCGCTCTGCAGGTAGAAAAAGCTGAATAGATCACACAAAATAATACAAAACTATATATAAACACAGCCAAAATTACAAAACAGAAAATCACTAATATCACAGTAGAGTAAATAGCATTAACGCACTCCAAAAGGACTCATGTCATGGGTTCTCTTTTGTGATTTTTAGATTATCGTGAACCACACGATGTAGATTAGTGATTTGTAAATCATCGTAAACTATACTATGTAGATTAGTGATTTTTAGGTTATCGTGAATCATAATATGTAGATTAGTAATTTTTAAGTTATCGTGAATCACAAAATGTAGATTAGTGATTTTTAGATTATCATGAATCATAATATGTAGATTAGTGATTCTTATATTATCGTGAACCACAAAATGTAGATTAGTGGTTTTTAGATTATCGCGAATCATGCTATGTAGATTAGTGAGTTTTAGATTAATGTGAACCATGCTATGTAGATTAGTGAGTTTTAGATTAATGTGAATCATGCTATGTAGATTAGTGAGTTTTAGATTAATGTGAATCATGCTATGTAGATTAGTGAGTTTTAGATTATCGTGAATCATGCTGTGTAGATTAGTGATTTGTAGATTGTCATGAACCACACTAAGTAGATTAGTGATTTGTAGACTATCGTGAATCATGCTATGGTAGATTAGTGACTTGTAGGTTATCATTTATCACACTAAGTAGATTAGTGCTTTGTAACTTATCATTTACCACACTAAGTAGATTAGTGCTTTGTAACTTATCAT